AGAGAGAGTTATCTGTTTGAGAGACAAAAGAGAGAAAGAAAGAGAGAGAGAGAGAGAGAGAGAGAGAGAGAGACAGACAGAGACAAAGAGAGACAGAGACAGAGAGACAGAGAGAGAGGCAGAGAGAGATGGGAGAGAGAGAGAGAGGAGAGAGAGAGAGAGAGAGAGAGAGAGAGAGAGAGAGAGAGAGAGAGAGAGAGAGAGAGAGAGAGAGAGAGAGAGAGAGAGAGAGAGAGAGAGAGAGAGAGAGCTTGGGCTCTCGGAAAACGTAATACAAAATAATTTCGTATGTCAAACAATATTACGTTATGTTGCTTTCCTTTGATTTTCTCCTAGATTCACAAAATTTTCAAAGTACTCCAGAGAAGAGTCACAATAGCCTGTATAATATTGTGTCAATGGAACAAAAAAAAATTTTAAAAAATATATATAAAAGCCACACTAAAAGAAAGAAATGCTTTATTATCTTAATAAGTCAACATTTTTACCAAAAAGATATGTTATTATATACGCAGCCGTCTCAATGTAAATGTTTTTACAGAATCCTTAGAAGTAACTTGTGTATGGTGATAAATAGGTCTATGGGTGGTTTCTATTCGTGCCATCTTGTACCAAGTTTCCATTGGGGGATCCGCAAACCGAGCGCCCGATTCACGGCCTGAAAACAAAAGCATATTCTGTTTTTGAGGCTGAGAGCTGGGCGGTTGGTTTGTGCCACGATGGTTTCTTTGCGCCTCTGACTTTAAAAAAAAATAATTTTTTTTACTGTTTTCTTCCTCTTGTACCGGTGGGTGTCGTGGGGAGACACAGGTGTGTGTCTGCAGCAAGGCGAATGGCCTGTAGGAGGGACTTCCCGTGAGCTCTGAGGGTGTCTGCCCGCAGATTCATTCCATCGTCGCCTTGGTCTTCCTCTGGCTCTCCATCCAGAATATTTAATAGTACGCTCTTAGAGCTGGATGGTTTGAGAGCATTAGCGTGAGGTGTCCTAACTACTTGACCTTCTGTTTTTCAATATGTGGTAGGACTGGTGTTGCTCCTGCGGTGTCCCTTATGAATTCGTTTTTTATTTTGTCTCATTTATTTTGTTGGCCGCTCTTCTTAAGCATTTCAACTCGCATGTGACCAGTTTCTGGCTAAAAGGGCCCATTGGGTGGGTGGGTTGGGGGGGGGGGGTTCTCTAATACAAACCAATGTCAACCGCTCGCCCGACGTGTCACCTAAAAGCAAAAGAAATTGTTTTTGAGGCAACGAGTCGGGCGATTGGTTTGTGCCACGATAGCCGCTTTGCGCGTTCAATCTGGCCAAAGGGCACCAATGACACTAAGAATAATATCCCCATATGTTGCTGTAGTGGCCCCTCTCTCTGTCGCGGTTTGTTATGTCTCGATTTTGGCTGCCTCCGTCGCTTACAGGACTTTCACTGCTGTCCCATTCGTTGCCGGTGTGTCGGTTGAAATTGTTGAACCTGTTAAAGATGTTGTATGGTTTCCTGGATTGACCAATGATACGTCTAATATTCCCTGTTGCAGTTGTCGCTATGTCGGTGTTTTCGCGGCTTTCGCTGCCTCCGTCGCTTACAGGACTTTCGCTGCTGTCCCATTCGTTGCCGGTGTGTCGGTTGAAATTGTTAAACCTGTCGAAGAAATGTGGTTTCTCGAATTGACCACGGACACGTCTAATATCCCTAGTTGCAGTTGTAGTAGCGACCATCTCTTCGCTGCTGTCGTTGCTGTCGTTGCTGCCCCCGTCACTTACTGGAATTTCGCTGCTGTCCCATTCGTTGCCGGTGTGTCTGTTGAAAATGTTCAATCTGTTTGAAACAAATTAAGTGGTTTCTCGGATTAGTTGAATTTAGACAAAGATTGGCTGGAGACACATCTGGTTTTCTTTTCATAAGTAGTTAATGTCTTTCTGTCTTGCTCCCCC